CTCTTTCCTTCTAAAGAGACCTCTATTTTTGTTCTAATACATTTCACTGTACGTAACACCATAAAAATCCAGCAAAAGCAAACCTAGCTCCTGTGAAGCTAGGGATAAGTTCTAAACACATTACAGAGGCTATCATCATCATTCTAATCTTTTAGACGGACAAAGTGAAAACAGGCACTAATTTGCCTAAGGACTTATCGGGTCTTTGGAAGGTCAGAAGCAGAAAAAGAGCCTTCCAAGTCGTAGCTTAGTAGTCAGTATCATACAATCACTAATAGCATGTGTTAGAGTAATGCACGCTAATTTTATAATTTCATTCGGAGACAGGTGCTAGCCATTATAACACTTGATATCTCTAGTTTTGGAATAGATGTACGTACCGAACACTAGTAAAAGCAACAGAATACAATCTACAATTTCAGTTCTGATATGAATCCACACCTGTTCTAGAGCAGTTTTGCAAATTTATGTGTTTGCATATACACATATACATTTTATATGTATATGCATACACATATGTGTATAGAGACATACATATAAAACATTATTCGCACATACATTTTTTTTAAACAAAAGGTAAAACACGACATGAGATATTATGTGTCTACTAACTCTTTCAGCTGTTTACAGCTTTTGATACAGCAGAATAAATTTACTGAAGCTGTCAATGCCACTGAGTTAATGGGTCTTTGAAAAACATTTGAAAATTTAACTACTTGAACCTAGCGTGTTCTCCACAACTGCTTCATAAATGTATAAGACTTGCATACAAGGCAAGACAGTCAGACAAAAGATTTGGTCTGGCACAGAACTGCCTGTTGCTCTCAACTGCATACCTTAATTCTTTCCAGAAAAAACACCCAATACATATTTACAGAGATTTTTGTATTATTATTCATCAATAAACAAACGGTAACTTTTCCTACTTCAGGACTTGCAAAGACACAAACCAAAACAGTTTACACCTAAAATTCTTCTTGTCGTCATCGCACTAATACATACCACAACTCCAAATTGTTCTGGCTCAGCAAGATCATTATATTCATCCTTTAGTTCAGCTAAGGCATTGAGTTCCTTCTGCTCAGGAAGATTCTTCACTAGGTTCTAAAACAAACAAGGCATTATATTAAATTTGTTATATTAAACTAGCTGACACATTAAAATAACATGCTTAAAATACCACAACCTGGAAATGCATGAGGAAATAATATGAAGCTTATTTTATTTACACAGCTTTAACATTATATAAATATCCAATCAAATCAGTAATTATTTAATAAAGACATCAGCACCTCTGTTAGAGTCTCTAATTTGAAGAATGCCTTTTCTGGATTAAAAAGTTAGACAAAACTCCTTGATGCTGTCAAACCCTGAAGAATTATACTCTATCTACAACCTTTCTTTGCCCTCATGATTGCATCTTGCTCATTAAATATTAATCTAGAAATAACTGGTCTGTATAAAGCAAGACATAACTATCGTAAAAAATAAAAGTCTTTAAACATTCAAAATAGCTGTGCACCAACTTCACTTAAAAACACTTTACACAAAAAAAGAGCAACATCTCAAAACGGTACAGGTCTTCTGGACAGTAAATATACTGGAACTCTGCAAAAAGTAGAACTTGCTTCAAATCGTCTCCAAGTCCCCAGATAAAACTGTATGATTTATTACATGATCTTAACATCTCAAAATACAAATATGCTAAATGTATATAATACTTTTAATAAAGCTGAAAAATATTTTAAAGTGAATTAAAAAATTATGAACTGATATAATTGCACTGTGGCTGTCCACACACAGAGGGTGCCTGTTACTTCATTTCCAATCTTCACTAACCACCTTTGTACATATTAAAGATTTATGACAGGAAAAGTCAAGAAACAAAACTGATGTTATATTTTGGACACTGGATATGGAATCCAAAACATTGCAGTAGCCCGGAGACAAGTGTGATTCTGTGGCATTTCAAAGGGCGGTGAGTTATGGGCAAGCACTACTACCTGAAGAAATCAAAGGGAATGAGTTGGAGACATTTACCTACAGAAGAGAGGCAGAAATTCCCCCAGATCTAGGTGAACACAGCATCCCTCCTGCTTTCCCACTGTGGCTCTTAGGGGAATTTTTTGCAGGGGTAACTGCCTAACCACCTCATAAAAGGAGGTGACCTGTTTCTGTATGCCGGATAATTGATAGACACTTAATATGCATACAGGGGCCAAAGTAGTAGTGCATTTTCATTATTAACTTCTGAAAAATCAGCACAACATTCACCCAGCTCCACAGGTGATGCAATGATTCCTGTACCAAATAACTAAGAAAAAATACTGCCTTCACACAGAAATAATTTTTTCTTCTACACAAACACAGTGGGTCCCAAGGTACTAAAGAGAAAAGCATAAGTCCATGTTCTTCAACAAAAAGTTCTTACTTTATGAAGCCACCCTCTGAAACTTGCATAAGTAAATGGTAGAACCACTGATGGTTTCAAGGTTTACTTCCAATAGTGTGTCTATGGAATACGCAATTCTACAGCATTTTAATCACAACATGTATTTTAGTGAAGGTAAGGTAATGAGCTACAGCTACAAAAATGAAATCTTTTGATACTTTCTGCAACACTAGTCACAGATGTAAAACACTTCAGAACATGCTCCTTGAACTTGAACCTTTTCTGGTTAGGTTATTAGCACACCAGTTCTCCTCCCACCAGAAAATGTGCACTGCCCTGTGCTCCCATAGAAGGGACCTGCACACTGACGCTATCAGCAAACTGATAATGACTGCTTAGGTTTATGCCACAAAAAAAGACTCTGATAAGAAAAAAAGTTCTGGGCCTTTTAAAACCAGAAAAGCAACCAGTGCTACAGAAGCATATTTTTCCATGTATAAGAATCTTTATTGGAGAAAACCTGTACCACTAGAGGTACAGATGTCTTATTTTTAGAACATACCAATCTTGCCATCACACTTGCAATATTCTTATTCGTCAGGAGAATTTGATTACTGATCACTTTGCCCAGCTTGATGAAATAGGCATTAAGGTACAACTTTCAGAAAGGCATCAGGCTAATTTGTCAAATTTGCAAGTGATAAAGTAACTTTATTCTCCAGGCGGAAAGAATCAAATACTCATCTGTCTTAACAAGCAAAAATAAAGATAACAAGCAGTCTCATACGAAACATCCCAGTTACAGAAAGGTTTTTACACTTATACCAAGGAGCTACTGAATGTCTCTACAAGCAGAGTTCGATATACTTGACAGAGACAAGCATCAGATTCACCTTGATGTCATACAAATACACTGTAGCCTTGTGTTTAAACATAAGCATGCTTCCTTTCCTATTAACCCAAACCCATGCCCCACAAATTTGTAGTTAAAAACAATAGGAATCTCTAAAATATTCTTGCTCATTTGATTGACTGTTTAATGCTGGTAAAGCTCAAAGACATGAACTAACTAAATAATGTAATTGTTATTAACCTATTTTCATTAGGTAGACTAATTACAAAATGCTGTCACCAAAAATCTCACTGTATTTATCAGAAATGTATAGTTCATTACACATTAATAAACTTACAGTTAAACATTTTTTTTCCATCAGTGCAGAAATACAAGTACCTACTACTAAAATTGCCTCTTTTTTTTAGCTACTTAATCAAAATATGTTAGCATGCTTGAGTATTTCTCTTTCCTTGTCCACACCCCTTCATGGTTGAGAGCTAACAGATCAACTCACTGTACCCTCAGCTTCTAAGAAAGAGAGTTTGGCTATACTAGCACTGCAGCTCCTTATATATACACATCTATATGTTTAAGTATGTTTACTTTCATGGAATTGTATTCAATAACTGAAAATGAAGATTAAGCGTTCAGTGATCACCTATTCAAATGCTTGTCAGTACTTTCAGAAACAGAGGTTCATAATGTATTCATGATGCTCTGGGTTTAAATAAAAATAGGGTAAATAAAAATGGTTTCCACAAACATAACAAGAAGTAGAAATCTAAGGCTGACATTAAGAGACGAAAACTATCCCTCACTACTCACTGTCACAATGTCCTGGGTTCTGCTAAGCACCATGCTTGACAACTATGTTTACAAGAACTTACCCTCTCAAAGACATGCTGGGAATTGAGAATATTTTTTCCTACAGTGTTTTGCTCAAGGAAGAGTTACAATAGTATATAGTCTACCATGTACTCAAACTGATTAATCAAATTAATTTTAGTAAGTACAACATCAGTTTGAAAAGCAACAAGAAATGAGGACTTGTGAAGCATAACTGAAGAAGCACTTTTCTATATGCTCAATTATGCTATACCTGTTTAGCTTTCCCTGCTTTGATACTTAGAACAAAGGAGTATCTATATATGTGCATTTTTATAAAGCACAAGTTTTGCTAAGCATGAAAGAAAGCAAAGTTTGCTTTGTGAAATCTTTCCAATCAATAGTACTGAAAACTGTTAAACTGGTAACTTAGTTAAGAACTCAGAAGACTAGAACAAAAATAAACCAGAACAGACTGAAGATGAAATAGGTGATACATTCCACTTACCCCAAGACATTTGTAAGAATATCTTTAGAAACACAGCAGGAAGCTCTTCCAGGTTACCAGCTAAACCTCCCTGCTATTAGCAGCAGCTCTGCCACGACATTTCCTGCAGAAATGGTCCGATCTCCAAAGCCTCAGCTTTCTGAAGATTACAGGCAGCTGAGTTTCTAGTTAGTTGCATTCATGACGAATTCACATACATTTATTCTGGTGTTAACATTGCCTTTTACTTATGTAGCTTCATTTTTCTCCCCAATGCTTATGCACATCAATCTTCCCCCCACATCACTACAGTGTAGTCATATCCCCTCTCAGCTATTTATATTGCTAAGCTAATCAAGCCAATCTTTTCTAGCTTCCCTCTGTAGACGGTTTCTCCATCCCTCAATCATCTTAAGTAGTTTTTAAGTTCAGCTTCTACATTTTAAATTCACTTTTGAGAAACGTACCAGGTATTTTAGAGAAGGTCTTAGAATTGCATTATTCAAAAGCATAACAATTATCCTCTCTACTGGAAATGCTTGACCTGATACACCTTGCAATCGCCTTTGCCTTTTTTATGGTATACTGGGTCTGGCTGGGATGAAGTCAAATTTCTTCATAGCAGACCATATGGTGCTGTTTTGACTTGTGACCACACCAATGCTTTAGCTACTACTGAACAGTGCTTGTGTAGCTTGGGGGCCTCCTCTGTTTCTCATCCTGCCAACAGGCCAGGGGTAGGCAACCTGCACCCCCTCGCTCCAACAAGTGGGCCAGGATCAGTGCTTGGGACCGGACCAGGGTAAACCCTCCGCATGCAGCTACACCACAGCAGTAAGTACACTTGTTCTGCTGAGCACAGACTCGCTATGGCTGCTCCTCAATCATTTCCTACTCATAAGCAACTATTACAACATTAGCTTCCAGCACTTTACAATTAACATGTAAGATCATGACCTTATACTTCAGCATAACTTTACATCGTATTTCTATTAATCCAGGTCTCAAGATCTCTCTACATTTGTTGCAGAAATAACTATACCAACATGAAACTATTCTGCATTTGAGGTATTCAATGTGGGATTCCTCTACCTGTTGATTTTTTATTTTACCAATTCTGTAGGCTGCTCATTCAAATCCTCTGATGTTCCTGATCAATAAACATACAGTTAAAACTTCTTACTTATTTCCAAATACCATATATCATGTGCTTAAGCTTTTTTACTCAGTGGCCAAAGATAGTATTTTTAGCAACTTAAATATTATGTATTAAAAATGCTTTATATTTAATTTTAGGGCCCATACTCAAAACCAATCATTTTCATAATGACACAGCCTGAAGCAGGACATCTTAGTGAAATACATCAAAGTCAGACTGGAAATAGTTTCCCATCAAATGGGAGCTTCCAAAAAAATAATGCCGCAGCAATCAAAAAAAAAAAAAACAAGGACGATCCTAAATGAAATATGAATGAGAGTTTTGGGTATCCAGTCTATATATTCAGACACATTAGGTTAGGCGGTATAACTCTCAGAATATGACACTATAAGAAAATATAACTGTTTGTAGTGCTGCGAGTCCAATAGTTTGAGGTCTGTAAGAAAATTGCAGCCCTTCCTTTAGTGCCTCAAAAAAATCAAAACTCCAGAAATGTAGGAAGGCCTTGGTGACACAAGAAAAACTGCAGACAAAGGACAAGCAAATTCATTTTGAGAAATTCAATTCCATTTACACTGTATGTTTTGCAACATAGTAATTTTGTTAAAAAACACATTATTGTTAAAATTTGAAGAAGTTATAAATTATCTAACTAATTATGAAAAGACTAGGCAACTCGATCTAGCCCACTGTCCCTGGAATAACCATTTTCCAAATCCAAGAAAGGAAGAAGAAATCTAGAAAGCCTTGCTCGGGGACTGGGACACGGTTGCAAGCAGCAAGGAGTAAAGGATAAATAGAGGCCCAGTATGTTAGCTAGAATGCCAGTCTGTATGACATGAAAATAAACGAGTTCAACACCTGTACCATTGCTGTGCTACACCTGTACACCATTTTAGGTTTACATGTTTTTCTGTTGCACTCTGTCACTCCCCGAAGATCATGAGGGGCAGCATACACACTTGCTCTCCTCCTGCTGTGAGGAAATCTGAGAGGGATGTAAAGAAGCTGTATTCCATACTTTCTTCTCTCCAGCTAAGAGATTTTTGGACTCAAAATAAGACCAAACCAGCTTGAGACCAAGTTTGATTTACAGACGGTTTTGGGGTTGTAGCAGTATCCTGAAACATTCAGGTAGTTTCATCTATCACTAGTGACAAGCAGAGTTGTTTCCACAAGAAGACTGATGAAACTTCATTATCCACCAGCCTAAATCTGGTAAATGCTTGTCTTCGAAAAACTACAATTATCAGAGATTTCCTTTTGAAAGAGAAACTTCATAAAGTCAGAGATTCAAGATGACTTCTGTTAACAGCGTCTTTTTTAGAGAGTTTTACTGCTATCATCGACCGTATTCAAAAATAGAAGTGAAATAAACAAAATGGTAAACACAGCTGATAGTTTTGTAGCTGATATCCAGAAAACTCTGCACTGTTCTCAGTTTTGTACTATTATACCTTTACAGCATTTTTATGTGCAAAACAATCAATGAACAAAAGTAAAGGCATTTTCAAAGACACATACCTGAATCAAGGATTCACTCAGCTTCTCTTCATCAACTTCTAAAATGATATTTTTTATTTCTTCATAAGGCAAACGGAAAGAACCCAAAAATATTGCTGAAATACAGTAATAAATAATTAGATTCAAAAATGTCAAAAAGATTGATATAAGAAGGCAGTTTCTAGCAACTCAAAAATCACATCTTCACCCAAATTAAGATGATTCACAAGGAACAAGTTTTCTATATAAAACAAAAAGTAGATGAGGCACACTACTGCAGCTGAACAAATTTTACTTCTCTAAGAAATGAAGCTATGACAATGTTTTTAACCATTTAATCAGTCTCAGTTGCTCCTCAGCAGCGTTACTTATCTCTACCAATAACGTCGTATTTTTATGAATAGCAACATACCTGCATTACTATTTAAACTGACTTTACTCAGCCACTAGAAGACTTGAGCTATTACTTTATGCTTTCATAACGATGTATGAATAGCTGTACTGTATTTACAATTGGTCGAGTGATATTTACATGACAATCTAGCAAAAATTCCTTGGCAAAAGGGTAACGAAGAGCTGGGCAAAGACAAAAAAAAATTCCCTAACTCTACCAATTTTTAGGGCACCTAAGCTTATACAAGAGACAACGTATATTTTATACCCTTCAAAGATGGGAGTTCTCAAAGCAATTTGATCTCAGGATATTATAACATATCAACAGAGCCTCATGCAATAAACTACAAAGTACTCCTAATACAGATGGATTAGCACACCATTTTAATAAGGTGCTATATATCCAACCTAACTACTACGGCTGACTTTCCTGCATTCATATTTTCAAAACCTGAAGTTTCATATCACCTGTGTCTCCGTGCATTTTCTGCTTAAGAAATTGTGCTCATGGGTGTGGCAATAAACCACACACAGACTTGGTTTTTTACACACTTCATATGACACAAGCATAGATGGACTAGTAACATTCGATGGTATTTCTAATTCAAATTTAACAAAATCTACTAAGTGACTCATTTCCCTCCATAATTAAAGAGAGAAGCAGCAAGTTAAAAATAGTAAGTGCTGGGTTTTTTGCACTTTATAATAGTACTATTTGCACCTAACTTACCCTATTTCGTAACACTTTTTCTCTCTAAAAGACTAACTCCCATCAAGCTCTGTTTCTCTATTGCTCTAACTTTTTTCATCACAAAACACAACACTTAGGAATGGCCTCTAGACTCCAACCCACAAAACCTACCAAGACTGAGACTGCCCTTGTACTTCCAGTCTAAAGCAATTAATGAAAGAATCGATTTTTGTTAAAAAAGAAATATAGTTCATTAGCATTTGTCTACGTCATTATTCCACGTTACTTTTTTAAGATTTCCCATGTTGTACAGTGAATTCAAATCTTATATACGTAAAACATTTCCGAACTTAAGACTCCTGTTCACATTAACCTGTTTTTAGAAAAAGAATATTTCACATTTAAACAAAAACAAAACAAGTAAAACATTTAGGAACAGTCGTGTGCACATGCTAATTAGATATTCACCTAATACATTTCACATCACTTACATAAGTTTTGTGCGGCTTTTCCATCCAAAACTCTTAATTCTTTAATCTTTTTCTTTGACTGACCCATTTTCTTTTCTTCCGATTCTTCTACTGCCTTTTTAGCTGTAAAGAATGTATTTATTAAATTCTGATTCATTATTACAACTGTTAAGCCTAACAGACTAATAGTAACTCAGTTAGAAAGCCATGATAATGCATTTATTAGAATCAGTTAAAGGCAAAATGAACCCACCGCCTCAACGTACTGTAAAATCTCCAAAGAAACAAAGCAAATTTACACAGTTAGGAGGAACATGAAATGAAAACGTTAATAGTACAATGACGAATTTTCCCAACCACTATCAAATTATATTTATACATTTAACCCACAAAATTTATTATCTTCATCTCCAGTTTATTCCATACACCTTTAAAAACAGTGATTTGGTTTTACCTCAAAGCACAAGAGTGCCCTCTGTTGAAATATTAATAATTCAAATATCATCTGAAGTTCTTCATCCAAACCCAGTCAGATAAATCATTTGAGATTTATCACACTACACAAAGGTAGGTCTTCACCAGTTACTTATATTGTCACTGGTAAAGAGCAAAATAAAACTAGAAAACACCACGTATTTTAAAATGAATTTTTCTAATTAGCAAGGATAGCTAGACTTCTATTCAGTAAAGTTATAAAGAAGGTAACATGTTACTGAAATCTTTTAAATATATGCTGATCTTTTGCTTAATTTAACACTTAATTTTCGCAGAATTTTCTTAAGTACTATTTAATTTCACCCATTAACAAGGATTTATTTCCCTTTAAACATCACGTAGCTTATTTGGCACTGAAGGAACAGAAACTTAACATGCTTAACATTAATAACATTAGTTAAAACTTATTGAACATTTTAAGTCATTCAGAAGTAAATGAAAATTTTGAAGGCCAAATTAAGAGGAAATTTTAAGCAGACTAAATATGTTTTTCTTCTCTAAGCATTGTTTTTTGCTGCGCTAATTTCATCAGCATGGGTTTCATTACAGGTGTTTCCCCAGAAAAGATGATGTTCATTATCAGTGTGAAGAATAACACCAAAGTCTCAATTTCAACCTCTTAAAAAAACCAGAACACAGAAAACAGTTATTTTTCTCTTTACACACTTTACCACTAGGAAAACATCTGGCATAAAATAATTCTACTGGGTGTATACCACTTAATTAGTTCACCTTGGGCATTTTCCTACCAGTGTAAACTAAGCTAGTACAAGGTAGTTCTCTCATCCCCAGCTACCTCTAAAAAGCCTAAAGCAGAAAAAGCTAAACAGAAAAGACGATTCAACAACCATGCAATATTTGCTCTCCCCTTCCCCATCTTTATTCTGCAAGCCTAACTACACAAGTATGACCAGCTTGCTTTATATTTGAAAAAGGACAGAGATATACACCAGCTCGGTAATTGTGCTGGCTTTGGCTCACGCAGAGTTAAACCACAACAGTAACACACAAATAATATTCAAAATTTCCACCGGCACTGACCCTCCAACTATAATGAGTTACAGTTTAAAATCCTGAAGTGACACTCCATGAAATAATCACACCCTCATCACTATTCATTCTCAACTAAACAAGGAAATAAAACCAGGCACTCAACAAAACAAACCAAAAACCACTTAAGAGTTAAAAATCAGTCATCCCATGAGAAGGCAATAAACACTATGAGTTCAAAAGCTACTGAAAAGCCTCAATTTGTGTCTGTTGAGATAGGTGTGAGAACTGATTCAAGACGACGAGTGACCTGTTCCAAACTCCATCTGTTTGAGAACTAAACCCTGCAGATTTCTACATACGATTGTGTCTTTAAAGTATTGAACACCACACACCCTCACAATCCACTCACGGAGTACCTGCACCACTCACCTGGTTTCAGATTGCACTCCTCCGGGGTTGTGAAACTAGTAACCACATTGAGAACACAGAAGACCAAAGTTTTATAACAGGCCATGGCTACTCTCACCTGCTTAAGCCTGAAGGGCTATACTACCATCAGTCATAAATCACCCATTTTATAAACACCTCATGTCTAGGTTAGATTAAAACTCTTCCATTTGGAAAGAGACCAGCGAAGATGTTCTTTCCAAAGGTTCTTATCTTTTCAGGCATGAGACTTCAAAGACTTTACGTTAGCTTCAAGCTAATTCACAAAAAACGTGGACAGATACTCGAATTAGATGCTTGTGTGACTGCAAATTCGCAATCCAGCATCAACAAACTTACCAACCTAAGACTCGTAGGCAGAAAGAAATATTAAATTACTAGAATTTCTCCAGCAGAGTTTGATCCATGCTTGAGATTTCATTAAGCGTCAGAGACCTATCAAAAGCCATGCCCGTCTCTCTTCTGTCAGTGGCTTGCTCTCCCTCTGATCGCACAGTCCACTTAGTCACACTCAACTGTGACAGGACCACAGGTTACAGAATTTTAAAAAGTAATGAAGTAAATAAAAGCCACTTGATACATTTCAGAATCAATATACTATTGCTGACCAACCTTCCAACCCTTTTCAGGTACTCCCTTCACAAGTTTAAAGACGAGACAAGCTTTTTCCTTTGATGCCACAGAACCAGAGGAAGAGATGAAAAAAGGATTTTACAGCAGTCAACATCGGGTAGCTCAAAAAAGCAAAATGAAAAATCAATCTGGAAGCTAAAGCATCAGTATTACTTCATGCAGACCTTGGAGTTGAGTGCTGTGACTACTCACTATGGCACTGATACAGCACTGCCTTACATCTTCATTCAAAAACAGCTTGTTTTCAAACAGACAGGTTTTACAGACAGTAGCTAGAGCTAGTGACTGTCATGTCCAGCTGTATGCAGAGGGGAAATTTCCTTACTTTCTGACCACAGCATCTGGTTAAGCAAGAGGACACTGAAACAAACAGGTCAGCTCTCAGAGTTTGAAGCTTTATTACACAGGGTGCATCTCCTACCCAACTCCCTGCTGAGCTAGCCATCCGCCTTTGAGCGCCCTGCTTCAGTTTGCCTCTCTCGTTTCAGAACACATCATCAGCTTTTTCCCACCTTAAATGTGGCTTGATCCAAATTCAGCCTTCTAAATTCATGGCTCACCTGTTTCACTTCCCAGAACATACTCACTGATCAAGTTCATGCCAGTCCTCCAATACATTAACAGCCCTGGAATGATGGCAGAATCCTCCAATGAGTGGTTAAGCCTCTCCATGTACTCTAGCAAGTCACTGGTGGCAAAAGTGAGGAATATCTCCTTCACAAGTTCTCAGTAGCAGAGTCCAGAGCCCAGGTATTTTGTCACCACACAAAAGAAGCCTGGTCACCAGCAGACTAGAGTCCAGACTCACGTGGGCCTGTCAGGTTGCCCTCTGATGTTTCGGACCCCCGACATATGATAACTGACAACGCCAATGCACTTCTGTTGTGCTGATGCAAAGTATTTTTAAATCCCCTTCCCTACATCTCTGGTTTTCTTCTTAAAAGTTAATCCATTTTCACACAAATTTACGTAGCTTAATATTTGGACTTATCTGGAATACATATATTTACACACATATATATACACACACAGAGGCATTCATACATATGTGGAATTTTTGTTTTGAAGAAATGGAGAAAATTATACTCTTGGTTGTTTAAAACTACTTCCCCATTCAGTTGGGAAGAAATAAGAAAGAAGCAAGCATCTTTTAAGAAAATGGTTAGTCACTGAAATGACAAAATACCCGCTAATGAATAATTATCTCACACAGGTTACACCTATAGAATGCTTGGGGTGAGTTTACTTTTTTTTTTATCATCTACTTCAAGCAGACAGGAGAGGGAAAGGCAAAGAGAGCCCATATAATAAAGCAAAAGGGGAAAAGGCAGTTTTAATATACGCAGATGTCTCTCTGAAGACCAGAAAATACAGATCTAAACACCAACATTACATAACCTACCTTTTTTTTGTTTAGAGTTCTATTTTGTTAGTAACAACATCTTTGTTTATCAGTGTTGGAGGAAAAAAGCTGATGCAACATGCTGCAAGGGATTGTTTTCTGTTCATCTCACCTTATGCAACGCATGTGCAGCTCGAGTGTGTACGTTTAGTGATACCTTCAGCTGGGAACTAATTTAATCCCACAGAAAGTGCACTGCTTGAAACCCACGCAGGGTTTAAAGAAAAAATGGCAACACTAAACAAAATGTTATGTAAGTTTAAAGTACATTAAACAAGACTCACAATAGTCATGGAAAAGAACATACACAAACATGGTGAAATACTTCAGAGACGTAATTAAAAAAAAACATTTTACCAACAGCACTTTTGCACTTCTGTAGCAAGAAAGGTAAGAACACATGGCTCTTGAAAATTACCATTCTGCACTTGTTCATTAATTCAGCTACTGAATGGCACTAAAAGTCATCATGACAATTTTTTAGAAACACATACAATTTTACTTAATGTTACTGGAACATTTTACTCTGAGCTGAAACGTCCAGTTCACATCACCCTCACCCTTTCTTTTTCTAAATAAGCAATGACTAATTTTAATAAAGAATTAACAGTAAAAACTGTCAGTCATGAACATGATGAGGATGAAAATTAAAGGGAGACAAAGAGGAGTACACTGAATTACAGTGTGGAGAAAGCAGAGATTTAGGTGAACTTCAGCCTATCTGAACTTAGTCTCCAATTTCTATCAAGTCCGTACCCACAGTGAATAAATGCCCTTATGTTGCCACAGGAAACTAATGAGTAATTTCATCTTATTTCCATCTAGCTAGTGGCTTACCAATTGCATTTACTAGTATTTTGTTAAATATACTAAATATACAAAAGAAATTAATTCCTTTATCATTCTCTTTACTCAAAAGAAGATCTATGGCTAATATAGGAATATACGAGGAAAAAAAGTGTACATACAGTTTAAACGGATGTAAACTATACATACAGGAGTATGCTTGAATAGCTGAAACTATTAATTACACCAAGAAGTTCACAGAAAAAAACCCCACATGATATGACTTGGCAGAACAATGAAATAAGGAGCTAGGAATGCCATTGAAAGATCAGAATATATTTTGTAACACTAAGTTCAGTAAATTCTATTGCAACATAATAAAACTTCTCTAAGCCCAGCTAAACTGATGATATTGGGAAGCTATGGATAGTTTTCTATGTCTGCATTACTTCTAGAGACACCCAAGAACGGAAATACAAGTCAAAAAAAGGGGGAGAAGCAGGAAAGTCAAACATAACGCAGTCTCAAATTTGCACATGTTCTCTTCCCTCCCCAGTACACTGAGTATTTCCATTTGTCTAACCCCATAGCTTCCACACCCTAATGAAACAGTGCAGCAGTTCATGCAAGTCAGGCCTAGTTGGCATAGCTCTCACCATAAGCCTGTGACCTTCCACCAACCACTTATTTCAGTACAGTAGCTGAAATACGACCAACCTCTCGTTCCAGACAGCAGAACAAACTCTGATAAGATTTGCATGCTCAAGGAAACAGAGAGCCAAACTATGCAAATCACCTGCTGATCATCAAGAAGTGCAAAAGTGTCCAGAAGCATCCCGAACAAGCAGAGCCTTGACAATGGCAACAAGTCAGGAAACAGTGGTGCAAACTAAATGGACCAGTGACCAAGGAAGTATTCTGTATGCAGTCCTATAACCTATGAAACTAGAGAATATTTAATGGATCCCAGAGAAGAGACTCTGGGAGATGCTGCGGTTCACACAGCTGAAGCCACAACTTCTCTCCTGGAGCTCATCATGTCTCCTGCGGAACATGGATGTCACTCAGTTCATGAACTGTATAAACTGAGATCCAAGTGGTTTGGTATCCAAATTCATTTATAGTCTCCACACTGTCATTTGGTCTTCAGCTTTGACAAACAGCAAACCATTTCCCCAAATATTTAGAGATAAATGCAAGAGCGTTAACAAAGGCGAGCCATGCCCTCTTGGCAGTTACGGCAGCAGCCGTGTGAGCTCATGTTTGTTCCCAACACCACCTGGCATTCTGCAGTTCACCCAAAATCATTCAGTTATCAGTCCCTGAAGTAAAATTAATTAAGCACTCCTGCTGTCACTCTGTCCTTGCTGCAATCAGAAGAGCTAAGTACCTGGTACAGCATTAAAAAAAAAAAAAAAAAAAAAAAAAAAAAAAAAAGTTTTATTA